CGCTACTGTGCTGCTTAGTTACCCTGAACATTATTTTTTCACTGCCTTCACGGTACCTCCTACTTTTTACTGCTAGGTACTTGTGTGAGTAAGTGTAAGAAAATGATTGCTTATCAGTTACATATAAATTCAGTCAGGAAAGATGGTGATGCCAAACAACCACAGATTGTCCATACAGGTGGCTGAGAGAGCGGCACCTATGCTTCCGGATGGTTCCATGTAAACAGACTTTGTTTCATGCACAAAATTATCAAAATATATAAAATTACCTGCAGGCCATGGGTTTAAGGTGTATATAAAACATAAATGAATTTCACATTTAGACTTGGGTGTCATCCCCAAGATACATAAATGAATTTCACATTTAGACTTGGGTGTCATCCCCGAGATATCTCACTATATATGTGCAAATATTCCAAAATCCAAAAACATTTGAAATCTGAAAAACTTGTAGTCCCAAGTATTTTGGATAAGAAAAACTCAACTTATAGTAGGATGGTAGATTTAAACTCATATTTGTAATTATGTTAAAAGTAAATTTATATGCCCCAATTAAAAGACAAATTCCATGAGAATTGATTTCTTGGGAAGACCAAAAATCTTTACAGCTATTGATGGGATATATAAAGATTCAGAAAGGGTGAGAGTGCAAGGATAAAAAACGTATAAATATACCATTTAAAGTTACAAAAACCAGATCGTTAGCTGATTTCTCGAGTGAAAGCATGAAATCCAGAAGATAATTATATGATTTATTCAGTGCTCAAACGACACACACACAAAAGAGAAAATTTGTCACCTGAAGCCCTGCCCTAAATTGATACAGTTACATTAATATTCACAAAAGTATACTTTAAGGAAAAAAGCATTATTGTACATTAAAAGGAACACTTCACATTGAGAAAAGGCTTAACTTACTAGGAAGATAAAACAATTTCATTTTGTATTTATGTAATGGCATAGTCTCAGAATATTTAATAGAAAAATAGAATTATAAGGAGAAACAGAAAAAGCCACCCAGCACTGTGGGAGTAACTGGCAGAACACACAGAAAGAAATTAGAAGGAAGTAGGATCATGAACAGCATGATTAATATATTGATCTAATCTACGCATATAGAACACAACACTCAACAACTGTCTAAGCACATACAAAATGTTTACAAAAATTGACTATGTGTTGGATCATAAGCAACTCTCAGCAAATTTAAAATAACTGAAACTATAAAATATGTTCTGTGAAAGCAAAGCAATTAAAATGGAGATAACTTTTTAAACTAGAAAATTTCCATATAAACAGTAAGAAATGTTCTTCTAAATGACCAGTGGGTAAAAAGAAATCACAATGAAAATTTAAAAATATTTTGAGCTGAGAGATAATATTTTTCATGGAAAAACTTGTGTAATAGAGCAAAATCAGTGTTTTGCAGGGAGGTTATAATCATAAGTGTAATATTACAAAAGATGATTAAATATTAATCACAAGAAATTAGGCATGCTATAACAAAAGTACCTAAGGGGAAAAAAGAAATTAGACAAATAACAATATATAGAATCAAAAGAAAGTAAAGAATGAAATAATTAAAATAGAAAATAGGATTAACACCAAAAGTTGATTTTTTAAAGTCTAATAAAGTTTTTAAACCATTGGCAAGACTAAATGAAATGAGAGCATGAGAACCAATATGGGAAAGCAGGAACAGAGGACACCAAAACAATGGAAGAATATTTCATGTTCATAGATGGGAAAAATTAATATTGTTGAAATGTCCAGACTACCCAAAGCAATCTACAGATTCAGTGAAATCCCTATCAAAATACCAATGACATTCTTCAGAGAAATAGAAAAAACAATCCTAAAATTTATACAAAACCACAAAAGATCCAGAATAGCCACAGCTATCCTAAGCAAAAAGAACAAAACTGGAGGAATTATATTACCTGACTTCAAATTATACTAGAGAGCTATAGTAACCAAAACATGGTACTGGCATAAAAACAGACACATAAACAATGGAACAGAATAGAGAACCCAGAAACAAATCCACACACCTACAGTGAACTCATTTTTGACAAAGGTGCCAAGATCATACACTAGGGAAAAGACAGTCTCTTCAATAAATGGTGCTGGAAAAACTGGATATCCATAAGCAAAGGAAGGACACTAGATCCCTATCTCTTACTACATACAAAAATCAAATAAAAAATTGATGAAAACTTAAATCTAAGACCTCAAACTATGAAACTACTACGAGAAAACTTTTGGGAAAATCTTCAGGACATTGGTCTGGGCAAAGACTTCTTGAGCATTATCCCACAAGCACAAGCAACCAAAACAAACATGGGCAAGTGAATCACATCAAGTTAAAAAGCTTCTGCCCAGCAAATGATACAACCAGCAAAGTGAAGAAACAACCCACAGGATGAGAGAAAATATTTGCAAACTACTTCTTTGACAAGGAATTAATAACCAGAATATATGAGGAGCTCAAACAACTGTATGGAAAAAAAATCTAATAATCTAATCAAAAGATGGGCAAACAATTTGAACAGACATTTCTCAAAAGAAGACATACAAATGGCAAACAGGCATGTGAAAAAGGTGCTCAATATCACTGATTATCAGAGAAACGCAAATTGAAACTACAATGAGATATTATCTCACCCAAGTTAAAATGGCTTATATCCAAAAGACAGGCAATAACAAATGCCAGCAAGGATGTGGAGAAAAGGAAACACTTGTACACTTTTTGGGAATGTAAATTAGTACAACCACTGTGGAGAACAGTTTGGAAGTTATTTAAAAAACTAAAATTTGAGCTACTATATGACCCAGCAACCCCACTGTTGGGTATACACCGAAAAGAAAGGAAATCAGTATGTTGAATATTTGTCTTCACTCTAGTGTTTGCTACAGCACTGTCAGAACTGTTTACAATAGCTAAGATTTAGAAACAAGCCAAGTGTCTATCAACAGATGAAGAGATAAAGAAAATGTGGTACATATACACGATGGAATACTCTTCAGCTATACAAAAGAACAAGATCCAGTCATCTGCAACAACATGAATGGAATAGAGATCATTATTCCAAGTGAAATATGCCAGGCACAGAAAGACAAATATCACATATTCTCATTTGTCTGTGGGATCTAAAAATCAAATCAATTGAACTCATGGACATAGAGAGTAGAAGGATGGTTACCAGAGGTTCTAAGGGGAGTGTGGGGCCAGGAGGTGGGGAGGGGTCGAAGGTGGGAATGGTTAAAACAAACAAACAAAAAAAGAAATCAAGATGAAAGAAGGGAACCATGGAACATCAGTGTAGAGCCAGTAGAAGATTAAAAAGATGATTTTAAAAATCTTTAACAACATATTTTAAAATTTAGGTGAAATGGAAAATTTCTTCTAAAAATGTTCAATTCACCAAAACTAACAAAAGAGAAATAAAATATCTGAATCCTTCTAAAATTATTAAACAAGTTAAACATAATCAAACTAAACCCAAAGCTTTCACTTAAAAAATTCTTTAATCATTTAAGGAAGAGATTACATGAAACTTACACAAACTCCTCTAGAGAATGAAAAAGAAAGATGATCAAATAATCTTGAAAATAAAATTGGATAAAGGCATATAATGGAAAATTACAGGCGATTCTCAGTCATATGCTTAGATCCAAAAATCCTAAACAAAATATTAGCAACCTGGGTTCAACTAATATATAAAAAGACGATATACTATGACGAAATTGGCTTTATAATTCCAGGAACTCTATGGTTGTTTAATATTGAGAAATCAAACAATTTAATTCACCATGGTAACAGAATAAAGAGGAAAAATTATCGTCTCTATTGATGCTCCCCAAAAACATTTGACAAAATGCATCATGAATTAATAATGGAAAAATACTTTTACCAAACTAGAATAAATACATCTGATAGATATGTATTCATAAAACAACCTAATTGAGCGTTATATCGAATGGTGAAATACTGAAAGCTTCTCTTTGAGATTGAGAACAAGGCAAGAATGCTGCTATTATTATCTCTAATCACCGTTATACCGAACGAAGATCCTAATCAGTGCAATAATCTAAGAAGATTAAAGTTGTAGAAACTAGAAGGGAAAAAATAAAACTTATTCACAGATATTATTGTATGCACACAAAATTCAAAATTATAGACAAAGTGTTAGAATTAATAAGCACATAAAAGAGGTTTTGAATATAAGGTAAACTATATATATGGTATATAAACACACACACACATACATATCTCAACAACCAATAAAAAATGTTTATGTGCCATTTGGAATCACATAAAAGGAAACACATGACTTCTACATAGAAAATTATAAATCACTATTGTGAGCAATTGAAAACCTAAACAAATAGAGGGATATAAGCATATTTCTACGTTAATGGAGTATGAAGGATGTGTCTTAGTTTGGGCTGCTATAAGAAATTACCATAGGCTGAGTGTGGTGGCTCATGCCTGTAAATCCCAGCAATTTAGGAGGCCGTGGCAGGTGGATTGTTTGAGCCCAGGAGTTAGAGACCAGTGTGGGCAACATGGTGAAACCCCATCTCTACAAAAAAATACAAAAATTAGCTAGGCCTGGTAGTGTGTACCTATGGTCCCAGCTACTCAGGAGGCTGAGGTGAGAGGATCGCTTGAGCCTAGGAAGCAGAGGTTGCAGTGAGCCATGATCAAACCACTGCACTCCAGCCTGGGAGACAGAGTGAGAGCCTGTCTCAGAAAGAAAGAAAAGAAGAAAAGAAAGAGAAAGAAAGAAAGACAGAGAGAGAGGGAGGGAGGGAGGCAGGGAGGGAGGGAGGGAGGCAGGGGAGGGAGGGAAAAGGAAAGAAAAGAAAAGAAAAGAGAAAAGTAAAGAAATTACCAAAAATGGTTTCTTAGTCTCTTTTGTGTTGCTATAATGGAATACCTGAGGCTAAGTGATGTATTTTTTTTGAAAAGCCTTGTTTGTTTCATTGTTCTACAGGCTGTCCAAGAAGCATGGCACCAGCACCTGCATCTGGCCAGAGCCTCAGGCTGTTTCCGCTTATTGTGGAAGGTGAAGGGGAGAGGAAGGAAGCAAGAGGGAGAAAGAGAAGGTACCAGAATTTTTTTTTTTTTTTTTTTTTTTTTTTTGATATGGAGTTTCACTCTGTCTCCCAGGCTGGAGTGCAGTGGCATGATCTCAGCTCACTGCAACCTCCGTCTCCTGGGTTCCAGCAATTCTCCTGCCTCAGTCTCCCTCTTGGGCTGGGACTACAGGCAGGTGCCACCACGCCTGGCTAATTTTTGTATTTTTTAGTAGAGACAAGGTTTCACCATATTGGCCAGACTGGTCTTGAACTCCTGACCTCGTGATCCATCCACCTCAGCCTCCCAAAGTGCTGAGATTACAGGCGTGAGCCACCGCATCCGGTCGGTGCCAGGATCTTTTTAACAACTAGCTCTTGTGGGAACTATTAGAGCAAGAACTCACCCAGAGGGAGGGCATTAACCAACTCATGAAGGATCCATCTGTAAGACCCAAACACCTCCCATTAGGCCCCACCTCCAACACCGGGGATCAAACTTCAACATGTTTGGAAGGAACAAATAGCCAAATCATATCAGGTGGGGAGGCTTAAGCAATAAATACTTATTTCTCACGTTTCTGGAGTCTAGAAGTCCCAGATCAGGGGACCAGCATAGTCAGGTTCTGGTAAGGACCCTCTTTCGGGGTGCAGACAACTCACTTGTTGTATTCTCACATGGTGAAAGGACAGTGAGAGAGCCGTCTGATGTATCTCTTTTTTTTTTTTTTTTTTTTTTTTTTTTGAGACGGAGTCTCGCTCTGTCGCCCAGGCTGTGATGTATCTTTTATAAAGGCACTTATCCCATTGACGAGGGCTTCATTCTTATGACCTGATTGCCACCCAAATCACCTCCTAAAACCGTCATATTGGGGATGAGAATTTCAGCATACGAATTTCGGGGGGCCATAAGCATTCAGTCCATTTCAGGATGTTAATTCACCCCCCAACTAATAAATAGATTCAATGCAGTTGCATTTTAAAATCCCAACAAATATCATTGTAAAACTTGACAAGCTGATTCTAATATTTGAATGTAATTGCAAAGTGTCAAGAATAGCCAAGATGATCTTGAAGAAGAGAACAAGTATTTTAGAAATGTATTCTACCAGATATCACGATTTTTTGAAACTATATAGCTACTATAAAAGTGTGAATTTGGTACAAGGATAGACAAAGAGAATACAATAAAGACTCCCCAAACAGACCTATATATAACTATTCGATCTATTACACAAATGCCACTCTAGAGAAGTGCAGAAAAGCTGTTGCAGTAAATAGTTCTGGGATAATGGTACACTTATATAAGAAAAAGAAAACTTGACCTCTAGCTAATATATATGTACAAGTATCAGTTCCAGGTACTTTGTTGATCTACATGTGAAAGCAAAGCAATCAAGTTTTTAAAAGACTGTATTCATGATTTGTGAAAGGAAAATATTTTTAATTAGGACACAAAAAGCTACCAACCGTAAGATTTGATAAATTTTACTACATTAAAAGTAAGAGCTCCTCTCCTATTAAGGTAAAGACTGGGAGAAGCTATTTGCTACATGGTTCTAATAAAGAATTGTCATCAGAATGTATAAAGAACTCTTATAAATTAATATGAAAAGACCTCAACTAATAAAAGAATCAGCAAGAAACTGCACAAAAGGAGATAGCCAAATGGCCAATAAATTTTTGGAAAGACACTCAACCTCATTAGTGATCAGGGAAGACCACATAAAAATCACAATGAGATTCGCCCAGCACGATGGCGGTACCTGTAATCCCAGCTACTTGGGAGGCTGAGGCGGAAGAATCGCTCGAATCCAGGAGGCGGAGGTTACAGTGAGCTGAGATCACCCCACTGCACTCAAGCCTGGGCGAGAGAGAGAGACTTCATCTCAAAATAAATAAATAAGTAAATAAATAACAATGAGATTATTAGCGTGATTTAATACACACCCACTGGAATGGCTGAAATTGAAAGAACCAACAATATCCAGCGTTGATGAAAATGTGGCAGAAGAAAATCCTCTGATGCTGTTGGAGGGAGTGTGAATTGAGACAATGACTTTGGAAAACACATGGCATTATCAGTAAAGCTGAGCAAACACACAGCTTATAACCTAGCAAAATTCCACTCCTAGATAAACTGCTCAATGGGAGAAGGTGCGCTTTGGTACGGAGATACACATACATAAATTTTTATAACCACCTCATTCATAATAGCCAAAACTGGAAATCTCTCAAATTTCCATCAAAAATAGAATATATTGTTTTAAATTATAACATATTCACAGATTAAAATGTTGTACAGGAATGAGACACGTGCAAATAACAAATGGAGGAATCTCACCAACAAGGTTGCCCACAAGATAATATGCCGTGCGATTCCGTTTACAGAACATTCTGACACAGGTAAAATAAACTACAATGTGCAGATATGCACACCGAGGTGATAAAACTATAGACAAGAGCGAAAAAGGGGACCCGTGAAAGTTAGGATAATGGGTATTGTAGGGAGAAGGAGATATGATTGGGTAGCAGCATGACTGGATACATAATTTGACAGGCCCAGTGCAAAATGAATATATAAGATTCCTTGTTCATAAATTATTAGGAATTTTAAAAGAGTGTCAGCAGAACACTAACCAAGGTGTGGTGCCTGCTAAGCACAGGATCCTGTCTCACATCCATGAAGCCCTCCTGGGTCAGTACACTCAAAGGACCTCCACGGTGCCGGCAATGTGACAAAAGTCTTTGACAATAATTCAATAAGCTCTACTTTGTTTTGTGGGTTTGTTTTTTTTTTTTTTGTATATATATGATAAAGCATGATAAAGAAAGGACATTTTTTAAAGGACCAAAACAAAACAAAATGCAGGAGCCATATTTTATTCCGATCCAAGGAGCCTTGAAGACTAATGCAGATCAATTTATGTGGGAAAAAGAAGAAAAGGAAGGAAGGAAGGGGAGAGAGAGAAAGAGAAAGAAGAAAGAGAAAGAAAGCAAAGAAGAGAGAAAGAGAGAAAAAGAAAGAAGAGAGAGAAAAAAGGAAAGAAAAGAAAAAGAGAAAGAAAGAAGAAAGTAAAAGAAGAGAGAGAGAAAAAAAGAAAGAAAGAGAAAGAAGAAAGAAAAAGAAAAAGAAAGAAAGAAAAGGAAAGGAAGGAAGGAAGGAAGGAAGGAAGGAAGGAAGGAAGGAAGGAAGGAAGGAAGGAGGGAAGGAAGGATGGATCCTAGGGCATTGGAAGGCTGGAGTATTGTCACAGCTCTCATTTATGACTTTAGGCAAGTCACTTGACCTTTTAGAATCTTGATTTCTCAACATGCCAAATGTACATTCACTTCCCTACTTCACAAAGTTATAAGAATCAAATTATATCAGACAGTAGCACTTTAGAAAGAACAAATGTCATACACTATAAGATAGTGGCACTGGAGAATTCTGTATGCTTTAAACTTCATGTTTATGTATCCCTATGCTATGTACACCAGATGATTTTAATTTACAATGAGATCTTCTGGTTACCTTCTTCATGTTTTGCTTTGGGCTAGGTCAAGGGATGGCAATCAAATTTCCAGGCTCCTTTGCAACCTCATGCGCATTTGAATTTCAGGACTCAGAGGCCAGACCCACATATAAATTTGTTACTACAGCCATCTCCCCTGCACACACAGTCTAAAGTAACATCCTGCTTCCTGCGCACAGCACTGAGACCACTCATTTCTATCTTGCTGATTGGGAGTCAGAGGGAAAGCCTGTGTATTTGAACTAAGAACTGATGCTCATTCTCAGGAATTGAATAAAAAGAGGGAGTCTGGTCCTTTGGGATAAAATCCTGTAGTCCCTATACAATTCTTTCTCAGGCCCAAAGTTATATAAGTAATTTTGATCACATAGTCAGAACCTGTTTGGCATTCATTTCACATATTGAAAGTCTTCGTTCAGTTAGGATGAATTTTTTTGAAAAGCAGAAAAATATAGAGAAGAAGCAGGTAACCCCCAGGTCTGAAAGGACACCTTGAAGCAGTCATTTTAAGAGACCTCTATTCAAAACATGAGCAAATCCAGCCACATGTGCAGTTCCACCACTGTGGGTGAGTGTATCTCCATGTAGAGTTGTTCAGATAGATTCTTGTAGGTGCTGACTTCAAAGATCTTTCTCAAGTGCTTTCGCTACCATAGTGTCTGTAATGCCCTTGGGTATACAGATTGGGTCTTATAGTTTCTTCACATTTTTTCAAAACATCTAGGAAAGTGCTTTGTGAGCACTGAAGAAATATCCTAGGCAGACTTGAGTGTCAGTGCAGTGAGGGCCTGCGTTTCCTCCCAAATTTACACCCCCTTCAGACTATTATTTAGGCTTCTGAAGAGCCTCTCTTGGGAGCCATCCCCATCAGACTTAAAAGCTTCAGCTGTGGCCATAGTTTATATTTTAGAACCATAAAGTAGAAAGAAATGCTTTATGGCCTAATACCTGATAGCCAAGGAATTGATTGAAAACTGTCTGGAAAATCCGATAGATGTGTTGACACAAAGGGGCACACTGAACTCTGCTTTCATGCTGCAAAGGTGAGCTGCACCATGGGCGCAGAAAAAAATCAAATCAACCTTTGCTGTTTGTTTTTCCAGTCCTCACCTCACCAAGTGCTTTCATGGCTTGTCTTTCTGCTAGAAGAAGTTCATCGGGGATTCTTGAGAAGAAGAATCAGAATTGCGCTGTAATGGCGGCATTTGTTTGCAAATGCTTCTTACAGAGGAAACCTCTGGCCCTGGTGGTACACAGGTGCAGAGGCAGAGGGTAGAGTGAGTCTCGCTAAGTGGACAGAAGAAGAGAAGAGGTCGGGCACGGTGGCTCACGCCTGTAATCCCAACACTTTGGGAGGCCGAGATGGGCGGATCCCCTGAAGTCGGGAGTTGGAGACCAGCCTGGCCAACATGGTGAAACGCTAACTATACGACTAAAAATACAAAAATTAGCCAGGCGTGGTGGCAGGTGCCTGTAGAATCCCAGCTACTCAGGAGGCTGAGGCAGGA